TTATATGAAGTGTTATATTTTTTTCAAATGATAATATATCTTTAGACCTTACCAGTATATCATTAAAACTCATCAGGTTTAATTGGCAAGTACTAATGTCATTTACTACTTACAATCTAAAGTTGATATTTGGTTTAGGGATAGCATTAAAAATGATGGAATTAGGGGCTATTTCTTTTAACGCTTTTGCAACATCCTAAAGATTAGGTTTACTAGAATATTTAAAAACTTTAAAAAAAATTTTTATACAAACTGTCTACAAATGGTTATTTTTTTTACAATGTTGAGAAAAATTTTCTCTGCTAAAATCTATACTTTTAATTTTAACAGGTAAAACATCTTTTTGATTTTGAAGCCATTGATTTGAAACCATTGTGCATGCCGGATTTATTAAGCCCATTCTTACAACAGCTTCATTTCTAAACATTGTTGCAGCAACATGGTTACATGTTTGGCTCATTCCTGCCATACATGTACAGTGACAAGATCGGATTTTTGCATTTTCTTTTTCTATAATCAGCCACAGTTTATGGCTTGTGTAATTAATATGTTATGAATGTCTACCAAGATAAACGGATCACTGCATTTAACATTGTCAATTAAAAGTTTTTTTTGATATTCATCTTTAAGTTATTTGACTGCCTCGGTAGCAGTTAGTACAGGCTCAATAAAGTTTTCCATTGCAGAAAATACACGAGAAACCAATTCCCTCTTTGTTCCAGAAACACGCAAATTTCGAAGTCTCAAATACTGCTTCAACTCATAAACTTTTATTTTATGAATTAAATCTAAATCCATTATGAGTTTATTTTAGGATAAATAATCTAAACAAAAGGAAAGCCCAATGTTTGTATCCTTTGTACGTAAAAGTTAATTTTTATTTTACCCACATAATTTGCACCCAGACCTCAATATTTCTAGGCGTTTTTTCCGATCGTATTTGCGTAAAACAAAAAACAAAAAACGTCTCTTTGTATGTTAAAATTAGTTGAAAAACATCAAAACAGCATCATACTAATTTTTCTTTTATGTATCAACAACGACTCTAAAAAAAACAATCAAAGTTGTATAAAAATGTTATAATTTTTTTTATTTGTTTACTTTTTTTATTAGTTATTACTAAATAACTAATCAAAATTTACTGAATATTTTTGAACTTATATTTTAATTTACTGAATATTTAATATACAAAAAAGTAATATAAATGAAAAAAATAAATATACAAAAAATAAATAATTTTTATATAAATATATATAAAATGAATATAAAAAATGAATATGAATATTCAAAAAAGAAAAATTAGTCAGTACGATGCTGTTTTGATGTTTTACAACTTATTTTAACTTTGCGTACAACAAGAAATGTCGCAAAAACACTTCGTTGTATGCTGCATTTTATGTTTTAATTTAAAGTATTATTTTTGTTACTATTTTCCGTTTAATTTAGATCAAGGAGGTTTAATAAACCTCCTAGAACTTAGGTACAACGTAAACTGCGAACCAGTAAAATACGAACTTTTTTTGCGAACCATAATTTTATTGGTAGTTGATGATGTAACATTTTTAGCCGTTTTTTTACAATTATCATGATAAAACGCTGCCTTAAGGTGGTTACCCATTGTTAACCCCCATTAATTTTAAAAATTGAAAAAAAAAAATTAATTATTCAAATTATGATATTTTTAGTTCATAGAACATATTTATAGTTTTTTTTTTTTTTAAATAAAATAAATAGATAAGTATGTAGAAATGTGTGTACTTAGGCCATTATAGGGTTTTGAGATCCATAGCAACGCCATAGCAACGCATTTTTAAACAAGAAAATTTTAACTCTAAACAACAATATCTTATTTATACTTCAGCTTCTTTATTATATTCTTTATTATGTAACGAAATATTTCTTTGTTTTTTGTATTTTTCTCAAAACGTCATTTTTAGCAAATATGTAGTTTTTAAAACATGATATTTTCAGATTACGACCTAATATTAACTTGAAATCTTCAGGGTGCTTTTGTTATTGCTTGACTTCGGTAATGAACCAGAATAACAAATAAATATGGTGTCAATTTATTTTTTCTTGCCTTTTTTGTTAAAATTTTTTTATAAATCTATTAAAAATTAATTTGCCAGTCCATGAATTTACTCTTTTAAATATGTAAAATTCTAATATATTATTTATTTGTATTTGAGTTAATAAAAGAATTATAATCCTTAAACACAATGCTTTGGTTCGCAAAAAAACTCGCATTTTACCCGTTCGTAGTTCGCATTTTACCTATAACATGTAATTTACCAGCAAATTTAAAAAACTGTCAGGGGTGGCAGGAAAAATTTTGCACAAGGGCGGCAAGAAGGGTAAGGCCAGCACTAGGTTTAAAAAGAAACAAACATGACCCGTTTCTAAGGACCGTCGAATATTCGTTAAAATTCGGATTCGAAGTTTACTGAAAGGCAAAGTTGACTTCGGCTTCGACTTCGGTGCCGAAGTTGAAATATAAATTCGGCTTTCAGTTAAATTCGGTAACAATTTCAAAATTTCATTTAACTTTTAGTTAAACTCGAAAGCTATAAAGTTTTTTTCAATTTATAAACAAGAATTAAAAAATATATTGTATGTTTTATGTATATCAACCTGTTTCTATTGCTTACAACCCTCTTTCAGAGTTGAGAGAGGATTGCAACCAGTATAAGAAGTCGCTTCCTCGACTAAGGTGGCCCACTAAACTTTGGGAATATAAATTGAGTAAAAATTTAAAAAAATTAAAAATCGTTCATATTCGTTCAAAAACATTAAGAATTGTAAAGATTCCATAACTTAAATTTTCGTTATTACTAAATTTTAAGATTTTTTTATTTTGACGCAAATTGTTTTTTGTAAGCGTATATTTTTTTAATAACTTAAAATTTACTTGGCTTCACTTGTTCTATGTTAAGTTGTAAATAATGGTTAATTACAAGTAATAATATAATTACAAATAATAACTTAAGTTTATAAAAAATAATTATACAGTAACCGCTGCGCAGTGGTTAGTGGCTTTCTATATACCCTATTTTGGTAAACGCATATAATCTAAATTCGTCTATCATATAAACTTGAGTCTTAAAAAGTCGACTTATATATAAGTCGACTTTTTAAGACTCAAGTTTATATGATAAACGAATTTAGATTATATACGTATACCAAAATAGGGTATATAATATATAGTATAATAGGGTATATATTATATAATATAGGGTATATAATATATAATATAATAGGGTATATATTATATAATATTACAAAATATTATATAATATTACAAAATATATTATATAATATTACAAAATAGGGTATATAATATATAATATAATAGGGTATATATTATATAATATCATATAAATTTGTATCTATATCATATAAATTTGAGTCTTTAAAAGTCGACTTCGCCGGTCCCTAGCCGTTTCTACTAACCTTATTCTGCCGGGTGATTCAAAACAGGGGTTATTTTGTTTGTTTTTTATTTGTTTGTTTTTTGAAGAAAAGTAGCAAAGCAAAAGTAACTGATAGCTTAAAATTATAGCGGTACTGCAGATATTTTCAAAGTGTTTCTACTCACTCCTTTTTTTTTACAAATTAAGTTTTTTTTTTTTTAGAATTATGTTTTGTTTTTTTTACAGAATTAAGCAAAAGTAGTACCCCGTTCACACTGACGATAAAATACGTTTTATTTTAAAAGCGTTTAGAATTTTGTATGTTAAAAACTGTAGAAAAACAAATTGGTAAGGTGTTTTTTATATTTTTAATTTAATTCACGTTTTAAATAAAGCAGGTTTTGTTGTCAAAACCAGGTTTATATTCAAACTTGTGTTAAGTAAAAACTTTAAGCGCATCCATATTTTATATGTCAAGGCTCAAAGTAGTTTACGCAATATTTTTTATTGGCTATGGCTATGTAGAATATCGAAGTATTTTCAAACCACGAAAATTATTTCTCTACGAACTCTAAAATCTTCTTTCGGATAAAGTTTGTAGGCAATTCTTATTTCAGGTAAAAGTATCTATTTTATATAACTTAGGTTATTGTTTTTTATTCCAATAATTCACTGAATATGGTTTTAAATATTTAGCATAACTAAAAATAATAGTGTTACTTTTCATAGATATATGTAGTTCTTGCTTTCCGGGTGAATGAGGTAAGATTATTTTTATGTTGTAACCGTGTCGTTATTTTCTTTCAATAATGGTGATATTATTAATTTCTTTTAGTAATTTACATTCATATGTACGTTATATATAAAATGTTTCTTATAGTAACCGAAATGTTTTATAGCCTTGTATATAAAACTTGCAAATCTTTGAAGAGTTTGGAGTTATATTTTTTTTAATGCTGTTTTTGTCATAGAATTTATTAACTATGCGATATATTATTTTATAGTATATATATATATATATATATATATATATATATATATATATATATATATATATATATATATATATATATATATATATATATATATATATATATATATATATATATATATATGTTTATATTTATATATACTTGTATTTAATACAGTAATTTTGTATATCACGTAAAATATTTAAAAACTATGTTGTATATTATGATTGTATATATATATATATATATATATACATATATATATATATATATATATATATATATATATATATGTATATATATATATATATATATATATATATATATATATATATATATATATATATATATATATATATATGTATATATATATATATATATATATATATATATATATATATATATATATATATATAACACAGTAAATTTATAAATCATGTAAAAAAGTGGAAATTACATGTATTGATTTAATTTTACATAATTAGATGTATGTTTTTATGTCTTTTTTTCCAAAAATGAATTGAGTTGTAAAGTTTTCTTATGTAAATGTGTAAATATCTTTATTTATAACATTATTCATTATAAACTTATTGCTGTGAAAAACTTGTTGAATATTTTTCCCAGAGTCTTTTAAATTCTAGTAAATATCGAACATTTTAACGAGTGATTTTTATTCTAATTTTTGTAAATATTTTTTAAGTTTTATTTGTTAGTTTGTAAAATCTTTTCTTGTAATCATTCCTAACAAAATATCTTTTTCATAAGTAGATATTTGTTTATGTAATATAACATGTGTACTTGTAACAATTAAACAAGCATCTTGTTTCAAACTCTGCGAGTTTGCAACTGAATATTCTATATAAATCTGGGCTTACGTAGAAGATCAAGTATTGTGTTATTCCTGATTAACTTGCTCGTGGTTTTTATATCATTTTGATCAATCAATTTATTAAAATCTGAAAATTCATTTCAACTTAGATTTTAAGAGGGAACTGCCTGCAATCACAACAACAAGAATTTTATAAATTTTTCTCTTAATTTCAAAAAGTACGATATTGCTTATATTTATTTGTTATGGCGTTAGTTGGAGATGATTGCTATTTCTACTATACCAGTGGTTGTGTTAGGGTAAGGTTTTGTTATATTTTTATAATATGTTTTTTTACTGTTATTTTTATTACATCTAAGTTTTACAAAAATACCAATATAACGTAACTTACTTCAATGGTCATTTTGACATTAATATTAGTAGTTTTTTGAAAGAAAAAACTATCTATACATAGTATACACATTTTTTAAATGCTAGTTTTGTCAAAGAACTTATTAACTATGTTATATATTATTCAATGGTGCTTGTGCTAGGGATAATATTATTTTTGTTAATATGTGAATATGTACAACTAGAATCCAAACAATTAGAGGTCATTGTAGTTCATGTTTTAATCAAACAGTGAGTCATGAATGTTAAATGTATGAGTTCAAATTCAGTGCAGGTCAATACAATACCCTCCGGTTGTTTGAACTCTCCTTGTTTATATGCTTATATTACCACTTTTAGAACTCCTAGACACCAGAGACAAAAAAAATGGAAATTTAAAGTCAGAGTCCTTGTGAGACTAAATTAGTACATATAAATATCAGTTATATATACTAAAACTTTATATTTTATTTATTATAACTATATATTAGAATATAAGGAATTCAGTGTCTTTAAGTTTAAATCTTTATTTTTTCTGGTCTCTAGCATCCAGGAGCCCTAATAGTGTTAAGTGACTTTCGATCTGTAATAAAAGTTCATAAACTTTAATGACTTGGATTCTATTGTTTTTAAGCCTAGAGTTATGAAGTCCCTGACCAAATCCTGTTGGCATTATAAATAAGAACTCTAGATTTAAAACCTTTTTCACCAAAATTAGTCCATAGGCTTCTTTCCATTTTTAGAGCTCCTAGATACCAAAAATCAGGATCAATGACTTTCAAGTTTATAAATAATAAAAAAAAATTGTAAATAATAAAAAAAAAAATTTAGATTCAGTTGTGTTGTTTGTGAACCTCTGGCATAGTGTTCAAATAATCAAAAATTATTTACATACTATATTTACTTGGGTTATTATTTGTACAAATTTACCTATTTACAAACTTTTACTATTACTATTCTTCCGGTTTCATTATTTTACTAATTAGTCATTATTATATTTTACGAACAGTAATTGCATTTCTCCAAAATAAAAAGACATAAAAATGAGTTTTAGTAGTAAATTTTAGTGATATAAAATGAATATAAAAAAAAATTATTCTATGAATAAAAAATGACAAAGGTTTGTGATGTGATTTGTTATGCTGTACTTAACTGAACAATGATTTAGAATAATTTAAGGTTGCTAAAAGATGGAAGATAATATTGAGATTTGGTTTTTTAATCTTTAGGCTCGTGATTGTCAATCAAGAACTTTTTCATGGCATTTAGATATTATTTCTGTTTTTTTATTTAAAGGGATCCCTAAGTGCTCCTAACATATGATCTCATGAAAGAGCATAAAAAAAAATATGTAAGTTTTTTTTCTTTTTCACTAAATTGTAATAATAAATGCATGCTAAAAAAAACAATTGCCGAAATCACTGAAAAACAACTCCATTTTGATTTTATTTTTTCACCATTGAAACTCGATTGTTAGTCGTTAAAAATCACGTTAGTACGTCACAACAACTTTAAAATATCTACTTCGATTTTGAAGTAAAAAAAAGTTGTGATTAAATAGTTAAGTTTTAATCAAGTTTTTTAAATTAGTTTTGCAAAAACAGTATAATATCATTCGGTTGAAAGACGTCGTTAAAAAAAAGTTATTAAGTAATAGTTTTTAATAGTTTAGAACTTATAAAAAAGTCTTACAGGGCTCGTATTAAGCGTATCGCAATCGCGATTGCTTTTCACACTTTTGTGATTAGTTTTTTCTTAAAAAAAATCTTTTCGCGATTTTTTTTTTTTTTTTTGGGTTGTTTAATTACTTTTTTTCTAGCTTAGCATTTTTTTTTAGCAATCCTTAAAAGTAATGTTTTTATCATAAAGAACGGCACACAAAATTTATTATTCTAAATACATAGATGAATAATGATTTTCTCTTTCGCGCGGAGATTTTCTTTCAACCTTAAACATTTTTGAATTTGAATTAATTTAAATCTCTGCGTGGAAAATTTTTACTAGGTTGTTAAAGCGAAAAGTTGAAAAGTTGGTTTTTACCTTTGTTTATCAAAACTTCATGTTTAAAATAAGGCTTAAAAACGTTAGAGCAAATAAATTACTGACTTTTACTTGCATTTTTATACTGTTAGAAAAAAAAAACTAATAAAAAAGAATTAATTGTTATATTATTGTTATATTAATTAATATATTATTAGTTAATTCTTTTTTATTAGTTTTTTTTTTTCAAACAGTATAAAAATGCTAATAAAAACCAGCAATTTTTTTACTTTAACGTTTTTAAGCCTTATTTTAAACATGAAGTATAATTCGATTTATTAAACCAAATTTTTTTGTTTTATCTTTTAGTGGAAAACTTGAAATAAAAAAATTGAATAAAAACATCAACCATTTAAATGAAAAACTTAATTATATTTAAACTTTTATTAGTCCTTTATTCAAGAAACAATAAATTATAAAAAACGTGGTATCTAATTTTTTATTAAGTTTTTGACAATGTTTTTTGATTTATTGACCGCACATCATTACACCCATTACCGCACATCGGCGCGAGCTATGAGAGAGGGGGGGAGGGGATAGAGAGCAAAAAAAAAAAAAATTTTTTTTTTCGCGATTAGATTTTTTTGCGTTAATTCGAGCCCTGTCTTAGTTTAATTTCTAATAAAATGTCTATTCAACCTTATCAATTTGAACCAAAAAAATATAGCAAAATTAACATAAATGTTAATTTAACTAAAACATTTTACATTAATTATTTTTTTTATCAAGCAAAAATGAGAGTAACTGTCACTTTTGAAACCATAAAAATTACTGAAATAAATTTATTTTTCTACTAAGGAAATATTTAAATAAACTTTCATGTGTCTAAATCAATATTCATTTGTTAAAAACCGACTAAAAAGAGTTTAAAATTTGACTTCTATTCATTTTTGGACGTGGAATTGCCTTATAACACAAATATATAAATTAAAATTATAAAAAAAAAATTAATATACAAATATATTTTCACAAAATGCTACAAAACTTATTCTTGTAAGTAATTATGTGTTAGTTGAAAAAAAAACGACTTTACTTTTACCAACTAATAAGTTTGCAATAATGACATTTTGTCTACTTTGTTTATTTTGACGTACAAACGTTAGTTTTTTGAGGCAGTAGAGTCAATAAACTTTGGACAAGACGCATTTTTTTTAATCGAAGAAAAGCGTTTTTTTGAAAATTAAATTTGTTAGTGTGCGTTCATTATTACGTTTTAGAAAAAATAATATACATCAAACATTTTTTTTTAATGCTCTTTCATATGAGATCATATCTTTATAGCACTTAGGGATCCCTTTAATAATTCCTGCGTACCTTTGTATGATATTATGGAAAGTTTTTCTTCTTCGTTACTTATTATCTTCATTACTTATGAACTTCATAAATGTGCTTCATTATATTGTTGTAAAACATCTGGTTTGAATAATAAATGTACTTACCACATAGTTTTTAAACAATTTAAACAATTTCACAATTAAATTATGGTTTTCCCCTTTTAAAAAGTGTTAATGTTAGCCGCAATCTGCAGATTTGATAATTCATTCTATGCTTGTTTTATTCATAACAGTTTTGGTATATGATGTCATCGTATAAATTTTTTCTTTCAAAATATTGTGTTGTTTTTTTTTGCTATAATCACTAAATCATGTTAATTAGCTTTTTACTAAATCCCTAAAAAAAGTTTTTGATACAATTAAAAATTAAATTTATAAAAATAAAAATTTAATATATAACGAATATTTGCAGTAAAATGTTCTGGTTTAAAGTAAATATAAACTAGATACTAAAAGAATAATTTTATTATTTTAAAGCTTATAAATTAATTTTAAGTAAAAACTGAAAAACTAAGTGAAATTTCTATAGTTCCATGTAGTTATTGCAGATTTTATGTGGAACACATTTAAAAAATTAACCACAAAAAATTTATTTGTTAGACCTATTGCAAACAAATGCATCTATGACAATTTTATGTGTTTGTAAAACAATTGAAATTAAATTTTCTAGAATGTTTTTTTAAAATTGGTATACAGACAAAATTTCCATCGTTCCATTCGTTTGTTTTGAACACTTAATAAATTTCCATCGTTCCATTCGTTTGTTTTGAACACTTAATAAATTTCCATCGTTCCATTCGTTTGTTTTGAACACTTAATAAATTTCCATCGTTCCATTCGTTTGTTTTGAACACTTAATAAAAGTTAGTTGAAGTTTGAGTAAGATTTTTTTTAATTGTTTGTTTTATATGAAAAGTTTTGTGTATTTTTAATTAAGATTTGTTATTTAATTATTACAATACCACACAGAAAAGGTGTTGAATAAGGAAGAAAAAGCAAAAATTGTTGCTTACAAAGATTTGGGCTTGTCCAATTGACCAATTGCAAAAAAAATCAAAAGGTCTAATCATGTAGTGAACAATTTTATAAACTTACGTAAAAATTACAACAAAAATCACTTTAAGGGCAGAAATAAAAAAACAAACAAAAGGCAACCTTCCATTTGGTGTTTGGTGTCATCCGGAGTACGAACAGCAAGATAAATAAGGACTGAACTTGAATTACCTGACTACAAGATGTGTCCAACAAATTTTGTCAAAAATCAGGACGATTCCAATGGAAAAGAATGATCACAAACCACCATTGACAAAAAAAACATAGTACAAGATTTAAGCTCGCAAAGGACCACATGACATAGAATGCAGAATAGGAAAATGTTATTTTTTTCGACCAAAAAAAGTTTAACTTAGACGGGCCTGATGGTTTTAAGTATTATTGGCATGATTTGAAAATCAAAGGATAGCAAGGCTGTGGCTATGTGAGTCGTAGCTTCAGAGGAGGGACAATAATTAAGATTGACAGACGACTTAAAAGATTGCAAATTATATGAATCAGGA